GAATAAGGAAGGCTATCACTCCATTTTGCAACGCCATGCCATACCCAGTGGACAGCACTTGATTGGAGCCAATTTCATCCTACAACAGGACAATGACCCTAATGGTTAATAGGTGTGACTTTTCAGGAAAACACTAAATTGTTTGGGTGATCCCAAACTTCTGAACGGTATATTTATTATATTTTCTGTTAGTGACTTTACTGCCTTTACCTAATCTGTCAGTCTGTTCCTAATCCTAATCCTGGTCTTAATACCTAACCATCATCTCATTTAACGTTTTGAGCAAATGTTACATCCACTGCAGTCAAACTAGCGATCAAGCAGCTTCTAGGTGACCATGGAGGCTCTACTCAGTGTTCAGCAGCTTCTAGGAGACCATGGAGGCTCTACTCAGTGTTCAGCAGCTTCTAGGAGACCATAGAGGCTCTACTCAGTGTTCAGCAGCTTCTAGGAGACCATGGAGGCTCTACTCGGTGTTCAGCAGCTTCTAGGAGACCATGGAGGCTCTACTCAGTGTTCAGCAGCTTCTAGGTGACCATAGAGGCTCTACTCAGTGTTCAGCAGCTTCTAGGTGACCATAGAGGCTCTACTCAGTGTTCAGCAGCTTCTAGGTGACCATAGAGGCTCTACTCAGTGTTCAGCAGCTTCTAGGTGACCATGGAGGCTCTACTCAGTGTTCAGCAGCTTCTAGGTGACCATAGAGGCTCTACTCAGTGTTCAGCAGCTTCTAGGTGACCATAGAGGCTCTACTCAGTGTTCAGCAGCTTCTAGGTGACCATAGAGGCTCTACTCAGTGTTCAGCAGCTTCTAGGTGACCATAGAGGCTCTACTCGGTGTTCAGCAGCTTCTAGGTGACCATGGAGGCTCTACTCAGTGTTCAGCAGCTTCTAGGAGACCATGGAGGCTCTACTCAGTGTTCAGCAGCTTCTAGGTGACCATGGAGGCTCTACTTAGTGTTCAGCAGCTTCTAGGTGACCATAGAGGCTCTACTCAGTGTTCAGCAGCTTCTAGGTGACCATGGAGGCTCTACTCAGTGTTCAGCAGCTTCTAGGTGACCATAGAGGCTCTACTCAGTGTTCAGCAGCTTCTAGGTGACCATAGAGGCTCTACTCAGTGTTCAGCAGCTTCTAGGTGACCATAGAGGCTCTACTCAGTGTTCAGCAGCTTCTAGGTGACCATGGAGGCTCTACTCAGTGTTCAGCAGCTTCTAGGTGACCATGGAGGCTCTACTCGGTGTTCAGCAGCTTCTAGGTGACCATAGAGGCTCTACTCGGTGTTCAGCAGCTTCTAGGTGACCATAGAGGCTCTACTCAGTGTTCAGCAGCTTCTAGGTGACCATAGAGGCTCTACTCAGTGTTCAGCAGCTTCTAGGTGACCATAGAGGCTCTACTCAGTGTTCAGCAGCTTCTAGGTGACCATGGAGGCTCTACTCAGTGTTCAGCAGCTTCTAGGTGACCATGGAGGCTCTACTCGGTGTTCAGCAGCTTCTAGGTGACCATAGAGGCTCTACTCGGTGTTCAGCAGCTTCTAGGTGACCATGGAGGCTCTACTCAGTGTTCAGCAGCTTCTAGGAGACCATGGAGGCTCTACTCAGTGTTCAGCAGCTTCTAGGTGACCATGGAGGCTCTACTTAGTGTTCAGCAGCTTCTAGGTGACCATAGAGGCTCTACTCAGTGTTCAGCAGCTTCTAGGTGACCATGGAGGCTCTACTCAGTGTTCAGCAGCTTCTAGGTGACCATAGAGGCTCTACTCAGTGTTCAGCAGCTTCTAGGTGACCATAGAGGCTCTACTCAGTGTTCAGCAGCTTCTAGGTGACCATAGAGGCTCTACTCAGTGTTCAGCAGCTTCTAGGTGACCATGGAGGCTCTACTCAGTGTTCAGCAGCTTCTAGGTGACCATGGAGGCTCTACTCGGTGTTCAGCAGCTTCTAGGTGACCATAGAGGCTCTACTCGGTGTTCAGCAGCTTCTAGGTGACCATAGAGGCTCTACTCAGTGTTCAGCAGCTTCTAGGTGACCATAGAGGCTCTACTCAGTGTTCAGCAGCTTCTAGGTGACCATAGAGGCTCTACTCAGTGTTCAGCAGCTTCTAGGTGACCATGGAGGCTCTACTCAGTGTTCAGCAGCTTCTAGGTGACCATGGAGGCTCTACTCGGTGTTCAGCAGCTTCTAGGTGACCATAGAGGCTCTACTCAGTGTTCAGCAGCTTCTAGGTGACCATGGAGGCTCTACTCAGTGTTCAGCAGCTTCTAGGTGACCATGGAGGCTCTACTCAGTGTTCAGCAGCTTCTAGGTGACCATGGAGGCTCTACTCAGTGTTCAGCAGCTTCTAGGTGACCATGGAGGCTCTACTCAGTGTTCAGCAGCTTCTAGGTGACCATGGAGGCTCTACTCAGTGTTCAGCAGCTTCTAGGTGACCATAGAGGCTCTACTCAGTGTTCAGCAGCTTCTAGGTGACCATGGAGGCTCTACTCCGTGTTCAGCAGCTTCTAGGTGACCATGGAGGCTCTACTCAGTGTTCAGCAGCTTCTAGGTGACCATGGAGGCTCTACTCAGTGTTCAGCAGCTTCTTGCTGACCATGGAGGCTCTACTCAGTGTTCAGCAGCTTCTAGGTGACCATGGAGGCTCTACTCAGTGTTCAGCAGCTTCTAGGTGACCATGGAGGCTCTACTCAGTGTTCAGCAGCGTCTAGGTGACCATGGAGGCTCTACTCAGTGTTCAGCAGCTTCTAGGTGACCATGGAGGCTCTACTCAGTGTTCAGCAGCTTCTAGCTGACCATGGAGGCTCTACTCAGTGTCCAGCAGCTTCTAGGTGACCATGGAGGCTCTACTCAGTGTTCAGCAGCTTCTAGGTGACCATGGAGGCTCTACTCAGTGTTCAGCAGCTTCTAGGTGACCATGGAGGCTCTACTCAGTGTTCAGCAGCTTCTAGGTGACCATGGAGGCTCTACTCAGTGTTCAGCAGCTTCTAGGTGACCATGGAGGCTCTACTCGGTGTTCAGCAGCTTCTAGGTGACCATGGAGGCTCTACTCGGTGTTCAGCAGCTTCTAGGTGACCATGGAGGCTCTACTCGGTGTTCAGCAGCTTCTAGGTGACCATAGAGGCTCTACTCAGTGTTCAGCAGCTTCTAGGTGACCATGGAGGCTCTACTCCGTGTTCAGCAGCTTCTAGGTGACCATGGAGGCTCTACTCGGTGTTCAGCAGCTTCTAGGTGACCATGGAGGCTCTACTCAGTGTTCAGCAGCTTCTAGGTGACCATGGAGGCTCTACTCAGTGTTCAGCAGCTTCTAGGTGACCATGGAGGCTCTACTCAGTGTTCAGCAGCTTCTAGGTGACCATGGAGGCTCTACTCAGTGTTCAGCAGCTTCTAGGTGACCATGGAGGCTCTACTCGGTGTTCAGCAGCTTCTAGGTGACCATGGAGGCTCTACTCAGTGTTCAGCAGCTTTTAGGTGACCATGGAGGCTCTACTCGGTGTTCAGCAGCTTCTAGGTGACCATGGAGGCTCTACTCAGTGTTCAGCAGCTTCTAGGTGACCATGGAGGCTCTACTCAGTGTTTAGCAGCTTCTAGGTGACCATGGAGGCTCTGCTCAGTGTTCAGCAGCTTCTAGGTGACCATGGAGGCTCTACTCAGTGTTCAGCAGCTTCTAGGTGACCATGGAGGCTCTGCTCAGTGTTCAGCAGCTTCTAGGTGACCATGGAGGCTCTACTCGGTGTTCAGCAGCTTCTAGGTGACCATGGAGGCTCTACTCAGTGTTCAGCAGCTTCTAGGTGACCATGGAGGCTCTACTCGGTGTTCAGCAGCTTCTAGGTGACCATGGAGGCTCTACTCAGTGTTCAGCAGCTTCTAGGAGACCATGGAGGCTCTACTCAGTGTTCAGCAGCTTCTAGGTGACCATGGAGGCTCTACTTAGTGTTCAGCAGCTTCTAGGTGACCATAGAGGCTCTACTCAGTGTTCAGCAGCTTCTAGGTGACCATGGAGGCTCTACTCAGTGTTCAGCAGCTTCTAGGTGACCATGGAGGCTCTACTCAGTGTTCAGCAGCTTCTAGGTGACCATGGAGGCTCTACTCAGTGTTCAGCAGCTTCTAGGTGACCATGGAGGCTCTACTCAGTGTTCAGCAGCTTCTAGGTGACCATGGAGGCTCTACTCAGTGTTCAGCAGCTTCTAGGTGACCATGGAGGCTCTACTCAGTGTTCAGCAGCTTCTAGGTGACCATGGAGGCTCTACTCAGTGTTCAGCAGCTTCAAGGTGACCATGGAGGCTCTACTCGGTGTTCAGCAGCTTCTAGGTGACCATGGAGGCTCTACTCGGTGTTCAGCAGCTTCTAGGTGACCATGGAGGCTCTACTCCGTTTCAGCAGCTTCTAGGTGACCATGGAGGCACTACTCAGTGTTCAGCAGCTTCTAGGTGACCATGGAGGCTCTACTCGGTGTTCAGCAGCTTCTAGGTGACCATGGAGGCTCTACTCGGTGTTCAGCAGCTTCTAGGTGACCATGGAGGCTCTACTCAGTGTTCAGCAGCTTCTAGGTGACCATGGAGGCTCTACTCAGTGTTCAGCAGCTTCTAGGTGACCATGGAGGCTCTACTCGGTGTTCAGCAGCTTCTAGGTGACCATGGAGGCTCTACTCAGTGTTCAGCAGCTTTTAGGTGACCATGGAGGCTCTACTCGGTGTTCAGCAGCTTCTAGGTGACCATGGAGGCTCTACTCGGTGTTCAGCAGCTTCTAGGTGACCATGGAGGCTCTACTCAGTGTTCAGCAGCTTCTAGGAGACCATGGAGGCTCTACTCAGTGTTCAGCAGCTTCTAGCTGACCATGGAGGCTCTACTCAGTGTTGAGCAGCTTCTAGGTGACCATGGAGGCTCTGCTTAGTGTTCAGCAGCTTCTAGGTGACTATGGAGGCTCTACTTAGTGTTCAGCAGCTTCTAGGTGACCATGGAGGCTCTACTCAGTGTTCAGCAGCTTCTAGGTGACCATGGAGGCTCTACTCGGTGTTCAGCAGCTTTCTTCTACTGGTGTCTTGCAGGTTCAGCAAGCTGCCCGGTTTTATCCTGCTGGAAAACGTCAAAGGCTTTGAGATCTCCTCTGCCAGGTAATGATGAGGTAATGGTTATATCGCTGGACCTAGGTGTCCACAGCTTATAGCAGAGTTGGATGGTGGTTCTGCTTGTCCCAGTTCAGCAGGAAGCTTCAAGCTACCAAGGATCAGATACGCCTCCATGGAGCAAGTTCAGCTCTTCAGAAAAATGAGTTGATTTAAAACCAAAGCCTAAATCAGTTAATCAGCTGACTACATGAAGTACTCAATGCTAATATGCAGATCTATGCTGATGGGAAACATATTTCTATGAGATTGCACAGCTGAGTTTTTTGTAGATAGGATGTAATGATCTGGAAATGTTCAGTCGTCATGGGGGCGACGCCAGGTGGGAGAAAGCTGCTAGTCTACTAACCAGGAGGACAGAGATTGATCCATTTGATGCTGGAGCCAAGCATGAAAACTGACTGATGTGCTTCATTCGTTTTTCATTCTAATAAATCTGATATATTCTCTAAGAAATGTTTCTACGTCGTCATAATGTTTAAAAATCTAAAAGGACGAGATAAATCTGACATGTTGATAAAGTGCTGTGAAGACTTTCTGGCAGGATAAAGTCTGTTCCAAGTGGTTCTAGCAACTGCTGGTTTGGTTTAATGGTTTAACTTCAGCTCTAAGCCCAGTTGTAAGCCCAGGTGTAACTCCAGTTGTAAGCCCAGGTGTAACTCCAGCTGTAAGCCCAGGTGTAATTCCAGCTGTAATTCCAGCTGTAAGCCCAGGTGTAAGTCCAGGTGTAACTCCAGCTGTAAGTCCAGGTGTAACTCCAGCTGTAAGTCCAGGTGTAACTCCAGTTGTAAGCCCAGGTGTAAGTCCAGGTGTAACTCCAGTTGTAAATCCAGCTGTAACTCCAGTTGTAAGCCCAGCTGTAAGTCCAGGTGTAACTCCAGTTGTAAGTCCAGGTGTAACTCCAGTTGTAAGCCCAGGTGTGACTCCAGCTGTAAGCCCAGGTGTAAGTCCAGGTGTAACTCCAGTTGTAAGCCTAGGTGTAACTCCAGCTGTAAGCCCAGGTGTAACTCCAGTTGTAAGCCCAGGTGTAAGTCCAGTTTGTAAGTCCAGGTGTAACTCCAGTTGTAAGCACAGGTGTTAGTCCAGGTGTAACTCCAGTTGTAAGCCCAGCTGTAATTCCTGCTGTAACTCCAGTTGTAAGCCCAGGTGTAATTCCAGTTGTAAGCACAGGTGTTAGTCCAGGTGTAACTCCAGCTGTAAGCCCAGGTGTAAGTCCAGGTGTAACTCCAGTTGTAAACCCAGGTGTAAGTCCAGGTGTAACTCCAGTTGTAAGCCCAGGTGTGACTCCAGCTATAAGTCCAAGTGTAACTCCAACTGTAAGCCCAGCTGTAACTCCAGTTGTAAGCCCAGGTTTAAGTCCAGGTGTAACTCCAGTTGTAAGCCCAGGTGTAACTCCAGTTGTAAGCCCAGGTGTAAGTCCAGGTGTAACTCCAGCTGTAAGCCCAGGTGTAACTCCAGTTGTAAGCCCAGGTGTAAGTCCAGGTGTAACTCCAGCTGTAAGCCCAGGTGTAACTCCAGCTGTAAGCCCAGGTGTAACTCCAGTTGTAAGCCCAGGTGTAAGTCCAGGTGTAACTCCAGTTGTAAGCCCAGCTGTAACTCCAGTTGTAAGCCCAGGTTTAAGTCCAGGTGTAACTCCAGTTGTAAGTCCAGGTGTAACTCCAGTTGTAAGCCCAGGTGTAAGTCCAGGTGTAACTCCAGTTGTAAGCCCAGGTGTAACTCCAGTTGTAAGCCCAGGTGTAAGTCCAGGTGTAACTCCAGTTGTAAGCCCAGGTGTAACTCCAGTTGTAAGCCCAGGTGTAAGTCCAGGTGTAAGCACAGGTGTTAGTCCAGGTGTAACTCCAGCTGTAAGCCCAGGTGTAAGTCCAGGTGTAAGTCCAGTTGTAAGTCCATGTGTAACTCCAGTTGTAAGCCCAAGAGTAACTCCAGCTTTAAGCCCAGGTGTAACACCAGCTGTAAGCCCAGCTGTAATTCCTGCTGTAACTTCAGTTGTAAGTCCAGGTGTAAGTCCAGGTGTATCTCCAGCTGTAAGTCCAGCTGTAACTCCAGTTGTAAACCCAGGTGTAACTCCAGTTGTAAGCCCAGGTTTACATCCAGGTGTAACTCCAGTTGTAAGCCCAGGTGTAAGTTCAGGTGTAACTCCTGTTGTAAGCCCAGGTGTGACTCCAGCTGTAAGCCCAGGTGTAAGTCCAGGTGTAACTCCAGCTGTAAGCCCAGCTGTAAGCCCAGGTGTAAGTCCAGGTGTATCTCCAGTTGTAAGCCCAGGTGTAACACCAGCTGTAAGCCTAGCTGTAATTCCTGCTGTAACTCCAGTTTTAAGCCCAGGTGTAAGTCCAGGTGTAACTCCAGTTGTAAGCACAGGTGTTAGTCCAGGTGTAACTCCAGTTGTAAGCCCAGGTGTAACTCCAGTTGTAAGCCCAGGTGTAACTCCAGCTGTAAGTCCAGGTGTAACTCCAGCTGTAAGCCCAGGTGTAAGTCCAGGTGTAATTCCAGTTGTAAGCCCAGCTGTAAGTCCAAGTGTAACTCCAGCTGTAAGTCCAGCTGTAACTCCAGTTGTAAGCCCAGGTGTAACTCCAGTTGTAAGCCCAGGTTTACATCCAGGTGTAACTCCAGTTGTAAACCCAGGTGTAAGTCCAGGTGTAACTTCAGTTGTAAACCCAGGTGTTAGTCCAGGTGTAATTCCAGCTGTAAGCCCAGGTGTAAGTCCAGGTGTAACTCCAGCTGTAAGCCCAGGTGTAAGTCCAGCTGTAATTCCAGCTGTAACTCCAGTTGTAAGTCTAGGTGTAAGTCCATGTGTAACTCCTGTTGTAAACCCAGGTGTAAGTCCAGGTGTAACTCCAGTTGTAAGTCTAGGTGTAACTCCAGTTGTAAGCCCAGCTGTGACTCCAGCTATAAGTCGAAGTGTAACTCCAGCTGTAAGTCCAGGTGTACGTCCAGGTCTAACTCCAGTTGTAAGCCCAGATGTACGTCCAGGTCTAACTCCTGTTGTAAGCCCAGGTGTGACTCCAGCTGTAAGCCCAGGTGTAAGTCCAGGTGTAACTCCAGCTGTAAGCCTAGGTGTAACTCCAGCTGTAAGCCCAGGTGTAAGTCCAGGTGTAACTCCAGTTGTAAGCCCAGCTCTAAGCCCAGGTGTAAGTCCAGGTGTAATTCCAGTTGTAACTCCAGCTGTAAGCCCAGGTGTAAGTCCAGGTGTAACTCCAGTTGTAAGCCCAGGTGTAAGTCCAGGTGTAAGCCCAGGTGTGACTCCAGCTGTAAGCCCAGGTGTAACTCCAGCTGTAAGCCCAGCTGTAACTCCAGTTGTAAGTCCAGGTGTAAGTCCAGGTGTAACTCCAGTTGTAAGCCCAGGTGTAAGTCCAGGTGTAACTCCAGGTGTAAGTCCAGGTGTAACTCCAGTTGTAAGCCCAGGTGTAACTCCAGCTATAAGTCGAAGTGTAACTCCAGCTGTAAGTCCCGGGGTTTCGTCCAGGTCTTTAAATCCAGTTGTAAACCCCGATGTACGTCCAGGTTTTAACTTTTCCCGTTGTAAGCCCCGGTGTGACTCCAGCTGTTAAACCAAGGGTTTTAAGTCCGGTGTAACTCCAGCTTTTAAGCCTAGGTGTAAAATCCCAAACTTTTACCCCGGTTTTAAGTTTCCCCGGTGTAACTCCGTTGTAAGCCCAGTCTAAGCCCCGGTGTAAGTCCAGCTGTAAATTTTTGTTTTAACCCCCAGCGGGAAAATCCAGGGGGTAAAGTCCAGGTCTAACTCCAGTTGTAAACCCAGATGTTTCGTCCAGGTCTAACTCCTGTTGTAAGCCCCGGGGTAACTCCAGCTTGGGGGCCCAGGGGTAACTCCAGCTGTTAAACCCAGGTGTAAGTCCCGGGTAATCCCGTTTGTAAGCCCAGCTCTAAGCCCAAAAGGGTTTTTAAGTCCAGCTGTTAAATTCCCGTTGTAACTCCCGCTGTAAAATCCAGGTGTCGTCCCGGTCTAAAACGTTGTAAGCCAGATTTTAACGTTCCCGGTCTTAACTCCTGTTTTTTAAGCCCAGGTGGGGACTCCCGCTGTAAACCCCGGTGTTTAAATCCGTGTAAGCCAGGGGGGAAATCCAGCTGTAAGAAGGGGGTAAGTCCCGGTGGGAAATCCCCGTTGTTTTAAACCCCGCTCTAAAAACCCCGGTGTAAATCCCGCAGTAAAACCCAGGTGTAACTCCAGCTGGTAAGCCCGGTGTAAGTCCAGGTGTAAGTCAGGGTTTTAAGTCCCTGTGTATCCCGTTGTAAGCCCCAAAAAAGTGGGCCCGCTTTTAAACCCGGGTGTAAAAACCAGCTGTAAAACCCAGCTGTAAAATTTTGCGAATTCAGTTGTAAAATTAAGGGGTAAGTCCAGGTGTATCTTAAATTTTAAGTCCAGCTTTTTAACTCCAGTTTTTTCAAAACCCCGGTGTAACTCCCGTTGGGAAGCCCCCGGTTTACATTTCCGGTGTAACTCCCTTTGTAAAAAACCATGGTGTTAAAAATTTAGGTGTAACTTTGTTGTAAACCCCGGGGGTTTACCCAAACTGTAAGCCCAGGTGTAGTCCAGGGGTTAAACTCCAGCTGGGAAAACCCAGGTGTAACCCAAACTGTAAGCCCCGGTGTATCTCCAGTTGTAAAGCCCGGTTTTAACAAACCGCTGTAAGCCCAGCTTTAATTCCTTTCTGTAACTCCAGTTTTAAGCCCAGGTGGGAAAGTTTAAAGGGGTAAAATCCATTGTAAGCACGGGGGTTAGTCCGGTTTTAATTTCCCGTTGTAAGGGCCCCCGGGGTAACTCCTGGTTTTTAAGCCCAGGTGTAACTCCGCTTTGTAAGTCCAGGGTAACTACCCGCTGTACGCCCAGGAGTAAATCCAGCTCTTTAAACCCAGGGGTAAGCCCGGTGTAAATTTCCCGTTGTAAGGGCCCCGCTGGGAAGTCCCAAATGTAACTCCAGCTGTTAAATCCAGCTGTAAAATCCAGGTATAAGGGAAAAGGGGGTAAGGGCCCGCGTAACTCCAGTTGTTTAAACCCAGGGTAACTCCCGTTGTAAACCCCGGTGGGAAGTCCAGGTGTAACTTCAGTTGTAAAAACCCCGGGGTTAGTCCAGGTTTTAATTCCAGCTTAAGGGCCCCGGTGTAAGCCCGGTGTAATCCAGTGTAAAAAAACCCAGGTGTAAGTTCCAGCTGTAATTCCGGGTGTAAAATCCCGTTTTTAAGTTAGGTGGGAAAATCCTTTTTAACCCTGTTTTTAAAAACCAAAGGGGTTTAAATCCCGGTGTAAAATCCCGTTGTAAGTTCCCAGGTGTAACCTTTCCCGTTGTAAGCCCAGCTGTGACTCCCGCTATAAGTCGAAGTGTAACTCCAGCTGTAAAATCCAGGTGTAGTCCCGGTCTAACTCCAGTTGTAAGCCCAGATGGGACGTCCAGGTCTAACTCCTTTTTTGTAAAACCAAAGGGGGTGACTCCGCTGTAAGCCCCGGTGGGAAGTCCCGGTGTTTAAATCCAGGGTGGGAAACCCAGGTTTTTAAATCCAGCTGTAAAACCCCGGGGGTAAGTCCAGGTGTAACTCCAGGGGTTTTAAAACCCAGCTTAAGGCCCCAGGGGTAAAATCCCGCTTAATTTTAAATTGTAAAAACCCCGCTGTAAGTCCAGGTGTAAAGTCCAGGGCTAACTCCAAATTGGGAAGCCCCCGATAAAAACGTCCGGTTAAATCCTTTTTGTAAGGCCCCGGTGTGATTTCCCGCTGTAAACCCAGGTGTAAGTCCCGCTGTAATTTTCCCGTGTTTAAATCCGTTTGGGAAGTCTAGGGGGGTAAGTCCTTTTGAAAATCCTGTTGTAAACCCAGGGGGTAAGTCCAGGTTTTAATTCCCCCCGGGGAAGTTTTAGGGTGTAACTCCCGTTGTAAAAACCCAGCTTTTTGATCCAGCTATAAATCGAAGTGTTTAACTCCCGTGTAAGTTCCCGGTGTACGTCCCGGTCTAAAATTTCCCGTTGTTTTAAACCCAGATGTACGTCCAGGTCTAACTCCTTTTGTAAGCCAGGGGTGACTCCAGGGTGGGGAAGCCCCGGTGTAAGTCCCGGTGTAAACTTCCCGTGTAACCTTAAGGGTGTAACTCCAGCTGTAAGCCAGGTGAAAATCTAGGTGTAACTCCAGTTTTAAAAGCCCAGCCCTTTTTTCCCCCAAAGGGGTTTAAATTCCCGCTGTAATTTCCAGTTGTTTAAATCCAGTGAAGTCCCCGGTGTACATTTCCCCGGGCTAACTCCCAGTTGTTTAAACCCGTTGTATGGTTTCCCGGTTTCCTAAATCCCGTTGTAAGCCCAGGTGTGATTTCCCGCTGTAAGCCCAAAGGTTTTTAAGTCCAGCTTTTAAACCTAGGGGTAACTCCAGGTTTTAAGCCCATGTTTTTAAGTCCAGGTTAACTCCAGTTTTAACCCCGTCTAAGCCCCCGGTGTAAAATCCAGCTGTAATTCCAGTTGTAAGCCCAGCTGTAAGTCCAAGTGTAACTCCAGCTGTAAGTCCAGCTGTAACTCCAGTTGTAAGCCCAGGTGTAACTCCAGTTGTAAGCACAGGTGTTAGTCCAGGTGTAACTCCAGTTGTAAGCCCAGGTGTAACTCCAGCTGTAAGCCTAGGTGTAACTCCAGTTGTAAGCACAGGTGTTAGTCCAGGTGTAACTCCAGTTGTAAGCCCAGCTGTAAGTCCAAGTGTAACTCCAGCTTTAAGTCCAGGTGTAACTCCAGCTGTAAGCCTAGGTGTAACTCCAGCTGTAAGCCCAGGTGTAAGTCCAGGTGTAACTCCTGTCTTAAGCCCAGGTGGGACTCCAGTTGTAAGCCCAGGTTTAAGTCCAGGGGTAACTCCAGTTGTAATCACAGCTGTAAGTCTGGGTCTAAGTCTAGCTGCAGTTCTCTTGGTCTGAGCTTTGTTTCCATCAGCGATCTAACTAAATCCAGTCCACTTCATTTGTATCCTCTGTGCTCTTCAGGGAGAGATTGCTGCAGACGCTGCTGGGATGTGGATACACCTTCCAGGAGTTCATGATCTCCCCAACAAGTGTGAGAACCTCCATGACCTCCTTTCTCTACTAACAGCATGGTTATACATCAGATCCCTAGTTGATCATTAAATCCACTCAGAACCTAAATGCTGAAACTGGGAGACAGAGCTGGCTGCAGCAAACAGGAAGGGGCGGAGCCAGCAGACCATATTTGGAAATGATGCTTTCTCTCCTCTGTACGCGTTTTCTGATTATTCCTTTATTGGGTTTTTATGTGGAGCTGTGGTGCATTTAATACAATATTATAAAATATATCTTTAAAAAACATTAAATAACTCAAACCAATGAAAAAAAAATACACATACACAAAACATGACAAACATCAGCTGGTATAGGAAATAGCGCCCCCTTTATTTCCATATGGGTCTGCTGTGTGATCAGTCTGCACCTCCCTCATGCTCAAAGGTTACCTGTGGAGTACCACAGGGATCAGTGCTAGGACCAATTCTCTTTACTTTATACATTCTCCCAATCGGTAGAGTTATTAGACAGCATGGGATTAATTTCCACTGTTATGCTGATGATACCCAGCTATATCTGTCTATAATCCAGATGAAGCTAACCCATTACATAGATTACAGGCATGTCTTGAAGACATAAAAACCTGGATGACTCTTAACCTTCTGCTTCTGAATGCAGACAAAACAGAAGTTATAGTCTTTGGACCAGAGTCTCTGAAAAAGAAGCTGATTAGCCAGTCACTTCATTTGGATGGGATTAAACTGATTTCAGATTATAAAGTAAAAAATCTTGGTGTTGTTTTTGATCAGGACCTGTCATTTAAATCCCAGATCAAAGAGGTTTCTAGAATTTCCTTCTTTCATCTGAGGAATATTGCAAAAATCAGCAATCTCCTGTCCAGGGGTGATGCTGAGAAACTAGTCCATGCATTTGTTACTTCAAGGCTGGACTATTGTAATTCTTTACTATCAGGAAGTCCACAAACTGTAGTTAAAAGCCTTCAGCTGATCCAAAATGCTGCAGCCAGAGTTCTGATGAAAATGAAAAAGAGAGATCATATCTCTCCTATCCTGGCTTCTCTTCATTGGCTTCCTGTTAAATCCAAAATAGAATTTAAAATCCTCCTTCTCACATATAAAGCCTTAAATGGCCAAGCTCCATCTGATATCAGAGATCTGATTGTTCCTTATGTTCCCAGTCATAGATCTTGATTCAGCTTCTACTGGGACTAGTTCTCTCTTTCATCCTCTGACATTAAAGGATCAGTTTGTCTGATTAACTGTTTCTCTCCCACATAGATCCGCCTGTGATCTGGTTGAGTCGTTTCTATAAAGTGACCTGAGATGACATGGTGTGAATTGCAGCTATAGAAATAAACTGAATAGAAATGCTCCTCCTGTTCCTAGCATGGGTCCAGAGTAAAACTCTATCATTGGTGGGGAAAGGTGAATCCAGACGGTCTTTAGCCTCACAGACATTATTATGGGATGGAGAGATTAGGGCACAGATTATGGTCAGATTAGGACTACAGCCTTCAGGAAGAGAACTACAGAAACCAAAGTCCTCCTAAAGTATCCCTCTGATCTAGAACATCATTAGGAGCCACAGGTTGATGTTAAATTCTGTGAGCTCTGCTGTGTCTGTGCGTCCTGTCTGCAAAGGATTGTGGGAAATCGTCCCATAATCTCCTATGTTGAATGAATGGGAGCTAGAAAGCAGTTCTTGCCTACCATTACCATTGAGACAGACCTGATCATAAGGTGTCTTCACTGATCTAAAGCAGTCAGATGGAGCCTCTAACTAACAGCTAAAGGTTTAAAATGTGTTTCCAGTAATCACTGCCCCCCTGTGGTCACTGTAATCACTGCATGCTTTTCATGTCTTTCTGCAGGTGGGGATCCCAAACTCCCGTCTGCGTTATTTCCTGGTTGCTAAACTTTCTGGACAAAACGCCGACATCCAGACAGAAACAGAGGTTGGTCTACGCTGTGATCGCTCTGCATCCAGATCCCAGCAGGGTTTCCATGGCGACTGGTCGCTGCTCCTCCAGAGCCCCATCCAGAGCAGAAGGAGAATGAGTCAGCAGCAGCAGCCTGTTAGCTGGGACGGCCTGGCTGAGGTTCTGTTCTAGATCACAGCAGATCTATGCATCCAGATCAATGGTCCAGGTTAGCTGGGACGGCCTGGCTGAGGTTCTGTTCTAGATCACAGCAGATCTATGCATCCAGATCAATGGTCCAGGTTAGCTGGGACGGCCTGGCTGAGGTTCTGTTCTAGATCACAGCAGATCTATGCATCCAGATCAATGGTCCAGGTTAGCTGGGACAGCCTGGCTGAGGTTCTGTTCTAGATCACAGCAGATCTATGCATCCAGATCAATGGTCCAGGTTAGCTGGGACGGCCTGGCTGAGGTTCTGTTCTAGATCACAGCAGATCTATGCATCCAGATCAATGGTCCAATTACTGGGGCGGCCTGGCTTGGGGTTCTGTTTCTAGACACAGCAATCTATCATCCAATCAAGGTCCCGGGAGCCGGGAAAAGGCCCGGGCCGGAGGTCTGTTTTTAAAACACCAAACTATGCATTTCCCAAAAAAATTGGGCCCCGGTTAGCGGGGTGGCCCGGCTTTAGGTTTTTTTTTAGAACGCAGCCCAACTAAAGCATCCAATCAATGGTCCCCGGTTAACTGGGACCCCCCCTTCAAAAGGGTTTTTTCTAGATCACACAATCAAGCATCTAAAATCAATGGGCCCGGGTTTGCTGAACGGCCCGGGAGGGGTTTTGTTCTAAAATCACACAGATTTTATGCAAACCCCAAACCAAAGGCCAGGTTTGCATGGGGCACCTTGGGGGAGGGTTTTGGTTTTTTAGACACAGCAATCTATGCATCCGATCAAAAGGTCCAGGGTTTCTGGGACCCGCCTGGCGAAAGGGTTTTGTTCTAGATCACCCGCAGATCTATTTAAACCGGTCAAAAGGGCCAGGGTTTCAAAGGACAAAACCTGGGTAGGTTCTGTTTAGATCCAACAGCAGATCTTTTGCATCCAGATCAAAAGGTCCCCGGTTTGCTGGGAACCCCAAAACCTGGGGGAGGGTTCCCGTTTTAGATCACTGCAGATCTAAAGCAAACCGAATCAATAGTCCAGGGTTTAAAAGGACAGCCTGGCGAGGTTTCTGTTTAGATCACATCAGATCATCATCCAGATCAAAAGGGCCAGGTTAAAATTGGACGGCCCCCTTGGGGGTTTTTGTTCAGATTTACAGCAGAACTATGCATCCAGGGTCAAGGTCCAGGGTTTTGCATGGCATTTTGGGTGAGGTTTTTTGTTCTAGATCACTGCAGATTTTATGCATCCAGATTTAAGGGGCCAGGGTTTTGCTTTAGACCTGGCTGAGGTTTTGGGTTTTAATCACAGCAGATCTAAGCATTTCCCAAACAATGGTCCAGGGGTTTGCTGGGTTTGGGGGTTTGCTGAGGTTCTGTTCTAATTTAAAACAGAACTATCCCCTAAATCTAATGGTCCGGGTTTGCATGGACAGCCTGGGTGAGGGTTTTGTTCTAGAAAAACAGCAATTTTATTTTACCAAAGCAAAAGGGCCAGGTTAGCTTGGGGGCGGCCTGGGGGGGGGTTCTGTTTTTAGATCCCCAGCAGATCTTGCATTCCCAATTTAATGGTCCCGGTTTTGCTGGGGGCAGCCTTGGTGGGGGTTTTGTTCTAGATCCCCTGCAACTAGGCCCTCCAGATTAATGGCCAGGTTAGCATGGGCAGCCTGGCTAAGGGTTCGTTCCCAGATCACATAGATCTATGCAAACCAGGGTCAAGGTCCATTTCTGGACAGCCCCACGATTCTGTTCTAGATCACAAACAGATCTAAGCAAACTAGATAAAAGGTCCCGGTTAGCCCTGGACAGGCCTGGTGAGGTTTTGTTCTAGATCACACAATCCCATGCATCCAGAAATGGGTCCAAAGGTTTGTTTGGGCGGGGCCTGGGTGAGGTTTTGTTCTAGATCAAAAGCAATCTTTGCATTTCCGAATCAATGGTCCCCCCTTTTCTTGGGCCCGGGTGGCTGAGGTTTTGTTCTAGGGTCATGCAGATCTATGCAAACCAATCAATGGGCGGTTAAACTGGGACCCGGCCCCGGTGAGGTTCTTTTTCTAGATCACAGCAATCTATGCATCCGATCAATTTGGGCCAGGTTAGCTGGGACGGCCCTTTCGAGGTTCTGTTCTAACACAGCAGTCAAAGCTCGATCAAAAGGGCCGGTTAGCATGGACACCTGGCTGAGGGTTCTGTTCTAGATTTACACAGATCTATTATCCCAGAAACAAAGGGCCAGGTTAGGGGACGGCTTTGCTGAAATTTTGTTCTAGAAACCCCCAGCAGATCTATGCAAACCCGATCAAATGGGGCCAGGTTTGCCCCCATGGGCCCCGGCCGAGGGTTTTGTTTATGATTTAAACAATCTATGCATCCAGATCAATGGGCCAGGGGACTGGGGCCGGGCCCTTTCTGAGGTTTTTTCTAGAAACACAGCAGATCCCATGGGATCCAGATCAATGGGCCCCGGTTAGCTGGGAAGCCGGTGAGGTTTCCCTTTTTTTGATACATCAGATCTTTTGCATCCAGTTTTAAAGGTCCAGGTTACTTGGGGCAGCCTACCCAGGTTCTTTCTGATCACAGCAGACCCATCATCAGATCAATGGGCCAGTTAGCATGGCAGCCCGGCTGAGGTTTTTGTTTTGAACACCCTCAATCTTGCCCCAGGGCAATGGTTTCCCGGGTTAAACTTGGACGGCCGGGCTGAGTTTTTCAAAATCCAGAAATTTATGCTCCAGATCAAAGGTTTCCCGGGTTTGCTTTGGGGACGGGGCCCGGCTGAGGTTTTTGTTCCCAGAAATTTTCCGCAGATTTTTGCATCCAGATCAAGGGCCAAGGGGTTTGTGGGCCCGGGCCCGGCTGAGGTTCTTTTTAAATCCTAAAACAGATCTATGCATCCGAGATCAATGGGGGCCAGGTTAGCTGGGCGGCCTTGCTAGGGGTTCTGTTCTAGATCACAGCGTTTTATCCCCTAGGGTCAATGGCCCGGTTAGGGAAAGGACAGCCTGGCTGAGGGTTTGGGTTTAAATTTACAGCAGATCAATGCTCCCAGATCAATGGGCCCCGGTTAGCATGGACAACCTGGGTGGGGGTTTTTGTCTAGAAACACATCCATTAAAGCATCCAGATCAAAGGCCAGGTTTGCTTGGACGGCCCGGTGGGTTTTTTCTAGATCACACAATCAAAGCATCCAATAAAGGTCCAGGTTACTGGGGAAGGCCTGGCTGGGTTTTTGTTTTTAGATCACTGCAATCTATGCAAAACCGATCAATGGTCCAGGTTTTGCTGGGGCGGGCCGGGGTGAGGTTCTTTTCCCAGAACACAAACAGATCTATGATCCAACCAAAGGCCCGGGTTTTGCTGGGACCGGGGCCTTTTTTGAGGTTCTGTTCCCAGATCACCCGCAATCCTATGCATCAATTTAAAGGTCCGGTTTTCATGGCAGCCCCGGCTGAGGTTTTTGTTTCAAAATACAAAACAGATCATGCATCCCGATCAAAGGGGCCAGGTTTTGCGGGACGGCCCTTTTCTGAGGTGTGTTTTTAAATTTACCCGCAGATCATATCCAATCAATGGTCCAAGGGTTCGGACGGGCCCGGGCCCAGGTTTTTTTTTCCTTTAAGCGGAATTCCCCCCACCTAACAAGGCCCCTAAAAGAGCCAAAAAAATCCAAAAAAAATTTCCCAAAATGGGTCCATGGGGGGTTAAACCTTTTTTTGGTTGACGGCCTTGCTGAAGGGGTTTTGTTTTAATCACAGAGATCTATTTCATCCAGATCAATGGTCCCGGGTTAAAATGGGGAAAACCCCCGGGTGAGGTTTTTTTTTCTAGATCCAGCAATCTATACATCCCGAAATGGCCCGGTTAGCAGGACACCGGCTGAGGTTTGTTCTAGATCACTCGAAACTATGCAACCAGATCAATGGTCCAAAGGAAAACTGGGAAAAGCCTGGGTGAGGTTCTGTCTAAAATCCCCGCAGATCTTGCTCCAGAAAAATGGTCCAGGTTAGCAAAGGACAGCCTGGTGAGGTTTTTGTTTTTAGATCACATCAGATCTATGCATCCAATTAAAAGGGCCAAAGGGTTTGCTTGGACGGGTGGCTAGGTTTTTTTCTAATCACAGCAGGGTCTTTAAAAGCATCCAGATCAAAAGGCCATTAGAAAGGACAGCCCCGGGGGAGGTTTTTTTCTAGACCGGGAGATCTATGCATCCAGATCAATGGTCCAGGTTAACTTTTTTTGAGCCTGGCTGGGTTTTGTTCTAGATCACAGAATCTATGCTCCCAAAACAATTTGGGCCAGGTTAGCTGGGATGGCCTTCTGAGGTTTTTGGGTTTTAGATCACAGCAGAAACTATGCATCTAATCAAAAGGTCCCGGGTTGCAAGACAGGGCCCGGGTGAGGTTCTGTTTTTGATTTAAGCAGATCTATTTTATCCAACAATGGGCCCGGGTTTTCTTGGACGGCCTGGCTGAGGTTTTTCTAAAATCACAAAACAGATCTATGCATCCAGATCAATGGTCCAAAGGGTTTGCTGGGACGGCCTTTCCGAGGGTTTTGTTTTTAGATTTACTGCAGATCAAAAGGGATCCCGGTCAATGGGTCCCAAAGGGAATTGGGGCGGCCTGGGGTGAGGGGTTCCCGTTTTTAGATCCAGAAAATTTTATGCATCTAGATCCCAAAGGTCCCCGGTTTGCTGGGGACGGGCCCTTGGGTGAAGGTTTTGTTTTAAGGGTCACAGCAGATCTATGTATCCAGAGCAATGGGCCCGGTTAGCTTGGACGGGGGCCCGGCTGAGGTTTTGTTTTTAGATCACAGCAGATTTTATTTCATCCAGATCAATGGTCCAGGTTGCTGGGAAAGGGCCCGGGCCCAGGGTTTTGTTTAGGTTTACGCAATCTAAGCATCCAGATCAATTTTTCCAGGTTTCTGGGAAGGGCCCGGCTGAGGGTTCCCCCCTTTTAGATCACCCGCAGATCTATGCATCCAATTTAATGGTTTCCTTTTCTGGGACGGCCGCGAGG